CGCCGGTCTCATCTGGGTCTAGATTCCGATCGTGAAAAAGTTGGTATCAGAGCGCTAGGTTAAACTACGAGGATAATAAGTTCACATCAACCACATTGAGCAGTTTCTAAGTCATGGTAGTGAAGTGCACCACTATCCTTTTTTAGAGACTGCATGATGCATAGGAAAATTTCCCTTCTTCTGATCTTATCGTGCCTTTCCTAATGTCTGATTTTCTTGGTGTTATGAGTGTGTATAACATCAATCCTTGTTATTTTTAATAAAATGAATACTAGGAGAACAATTGGTCAAAGGAGAGGAGGAGCAACTGCTGGGGGAAATCAGGTTGCACCCCAGGATCTAGCTGAAAGAGTGGCTATGCCGGTTAACCCTGATTGGTTGAATGTTGCTGAGGTGTGGGCATCTCTGGACCAGATGACACAGTCCATCACCATGCAGCCCCAGGACATCACTGACCAGGTCAACCGATTGAATGTTTAGAGGGAGAACCCACCGGTTCATAGTATGGCTGACAGGCTGAGAGATCTTATGAGGATGAACCCTTGTATTTTCACAGGGTCTAAGACTTCGGAGGATCCTCAGGAGTTTGTGGATGAGGTGCATAAAATTTTGGTGGCTATGGAGGCCACAGATACTGAGAAATTAGAGTTTGCTTCCTATCAACTCAAGGATGTTGCACAGACTTGGTGCTAGATGTGGCTAGGGAGCCGAGTTTTGGGAGGAGATCCGGTCACTTGGGAGCTGTTTTAGACAGCCTTTATGGAGTGATTCTTTCCCATACATATGAGGGCGGCCAAGGATGAGGAGTTTATCAACCTTAAGCAGGGATTCATGACAATCAAGGAGTATTCCTTGAAGTTTGTTAAACTGTCAAGATATGTTACTTCGCTTGTATCTAACAACAGGGATGAGATGAGCAGGTTCCTCACAGGAATCAATGGAAAATGTCGAGGAGGAGTGTAGGGTAGCTATGCTGCATGGGACTTTCCAGGCTTATGGTCCATGTCCAATAAGTGGAGGAAAGCAGGAAAAGGATAATCAGGGCAGGGAACAAGTCAAGGCAAGCTGAGATAAATTTTTCAAGGAAGAATAGTACTGAAATCAGGGATAATTCCAAGTTTAAGAAGGGACTCTCCCACCAAGAGGAGTCAAGTTTGTCCAAGGGTCTACGCTTTCCTTTGTAACTCCTTTGCTTGCTCTCACTTTTGAGATACTTCCTGAAGTTTTACATGATCCTATAGTAGTTAGTACGCCTTTAGGAGAGAATGTAAGAACTGATATAGTATACAAGGATTACCCAATGGTTGTATGTTGTAAGACTATGTGTGTAGAATTGGTTAAGTTACCCATGCATGATTTTGATGTTATTTTTGGTATGGACTGACTTCATAGTTGCTATTCTTGTATCAATTGTCATAGTAGGGTTGTAAGATTTTGTTTCCCTAATGAAGTAGAGCTAGTCTGGGAGGGGTACAACTTGAGTCATCCTAATCCCTTGATTTTGAACCTTAAGGCCAATAAAATGATGTCTAAGGGGTTATTATGTCATCTTGTGAGTGTTAATGATTTAGATCATGACATTCCTTCCATAGACTCAGTGCCTGTAGTGAATGAGTTCCAAGATGTATTTCATGATGATTTTCCTGGAGTTCCTCCCCCTCGAGAGATTGACTTTGGTATCGACTTAGAACCAAATACTAAACCAATTTCAATTTCTCCTTACAAAAGGTCTCCAGCTGAACTCAAAGTGTTGAAGCTGTAGTTAAAACATCTCATTGATAAGGGTTTCATTTAGCCGAGCATATTCCCTTGGGGCGCTTCAGTGTTGTTTGTGAAAAAGAAAGATGGAACCCTTGGAATGTGTATCGATTATCGGAAGCTTTACAAAGTCACTATCAAGAATAAGTATCCACTTCCCAGAATAGCTGACTTGTACGACAAACTCCAAGGGTCTAGTTTCTTCTCGACGATTGATCTTCGTTCAGGATACCATCAGCTCAGGGTTAGGGATGGAGATATCCCAAAGACAGCCTTTCGTACCCGTTATGGTCACTATGAGTTCCTAGTTATTTCATCTAATCTCATGAATGCACCTGCTGTATTTATGGATCTCATGAACAGGGTTTTCCGTGAATACCTTGAATCTTTTGTCATAGTATTCATTGATGACATTCTCATCTACTCTAAGACCAAGGAAGAGAATGAACAACATTTGAGACTAACCTTGTAGGTAATTAGACAACATCAATTGTATGCTGAATTCAGCAAGTGTGAATTCTGGCTTAGATCAGTGACCTTCCAGGGTCATGTTGTGTTTGAGAAAGGTGTTTAGGTAGATTCCAGGAAGACTGAAGCTGTTAAAAACTAGCCAAAACCTCTTACTCCCACAGATATTCGTAGCTTCTTGGGATTGGCTGGTTATTATCGCAGGTTCGTGGTGGGTTTTTCTTCTATTGATGTCTCATTGACAACTTTAACTAAGAAGTAGGCCAAGTTTAGATGGACAGAGGATTGTGAGAAGATTTTCCAGGAGCTCAAGGATAGACTCACTTCAGCCCTGGTGCTTACTTTGCCTAAGTGTTGTGAGAATTACACTGTTTATTGTGATGCATCTAGGGTTGGTTTGGGTTGTGTTCTTATGCAGGGTAGTAAGGTGGTAGCTTATGCGTCTAGACAGCTCAAGGTTAATGAGAATAATTATCCCACTCATGACCTGGAGTTGGTAGCTATGGTGTTTGCACTGAAATTGTGGAGGCACTACTTGTATGGAGTGCATATGGATGTGTTCACAGACCACAAGAGTCTCCAATACGCGTTCACACAAAGAGAGTTTAATTTACGTCAGCGAAGATGGTTTGAACTGTGGAAGGACTATGACATTAACGTTCACTATCATCCATGTAAAGGTAATTCTGTAGCTGATGATTTGAGTAGGATGAGCATGGGAAGTATAGCCAATGTTGAGGATAGGAAGAAGGAGTTGGTGAAAGATGTACATAGACTGGCTAGACTGGGTGTGCGGTTAGTTGACTCTACTAGTGGGGGTGTTCCAGTTCATCCTAGTTTTGAATCATCCTTAGTAGTTGAAGTCAAGGAGGTTCAACATCTTGAACTTGTGTTGATGGAGCTGAAGGACTCAGTGTTGGTTAAGATAAATGAGTCTTTTGCTTTGGGAGATGACGACATACTTAGGTACCAGGACAAACTGTGTATACTAGATGTGGATGATTTGCGGACTGGGATCATTGCAGAGGACCATGGTTCCAGATATTCCATACATCCAGGTTCCACCAAGATGTATCATGATCTTAAACAAATCTATTGGTGGGATGACATGAAGAAAGAAATTGCAGATTATGTGGCCAAGTGTCCTAATTGTCAACAGTTTAAGGCAGAACATCTTAAGCCTGGTGGTCTTACTCAAATTATTGAGGTTCCGACTTAGAAATGGGAGGCTATTAATATGGACATCGTGGTTGGTCTTCTGAAGACTAGGAGACAGCATGACTCTATATAGGTTATTGTAGACAGGATGACTAAGTCTGCCACTTTATCCCTGTTAAGTCTACTTACAGAGCTGAGGATTATGAGAAACTCTACGTTGATGAGATTGTGATAGGGCATGGGATTCCTTTGTCTATCATTTCAGATAGAGGAGCTCAGTTCACTTCACATTTCTGGTGATCATTCCAGAAGAGCTTAAACACGCAAGTGAACCTTAGTACTTACTGCCTTTCATACTCAGACTGATGGGCAGGCAGAGCGCACCATTCAGACATTGGAGGACATGCTGAAGGCGTGTGTGATTGACTTCAAGGATAGTTGGGATGACCATCTGCCTTTGATAGAATTCTCGTATAGTAATAACTATCACTCCAGCATTGGGATAGCACCGTTTGAGACACTGTATAGTAGGAGGTGTAGGTCTCCAGTTGGGTGGTTCGACAGGTTGGCTATTGCTTACACTCGGCAGAAGTCTTATGCAGACAACAAAAAACGGCCCTAAGAGTTTAATGTTGGTGACCAGATCTATTTGAAGATATCACCTATGAAGGGGGTTATGAGGTTTGGCAGGAAGGGGAAGCTGAGTACGAGGTATGTTCGACCATATGAGATCCTACACCGTGTGGGAGAGGTGGCCTATGAGTTGGCATTGCCTGCGGAACTAGATTTTGTTCATCCAATATTTCATGTCTTTATGTTAAAGAAGTGCCTAGGTGATCCAGCATCGATTCTACCTGTTGAAGGTTTGGGGGTTGATGAAATCTTTTTCTATGAGGAGGTACCTGTTGACATTTTAGACAGACAGGTCAAGCGGCTGAGGAACAAGGAGATTGCAACAGTGAAGGTATTGTGGAAGAATATTCTTGTTGAGGGTGCTACGTGGTAGGCCGAGGCCGATATGAGATCACGCTACCCCCATATTTTCAACTCTTGAGGTTAGACTTCCTACTCTTAAGTCTAAGTTTCCTAACTCTCAATTCTTTGTTGCTATTGCTTGATTGTGTATAGTGACTATTGTGTATAGTTACTATGTTATGATCTGACTAGCATTACGCGAAATAGTTAGAAGCGTCATTCGGGGATGAATGTTCCTAGGGGGGGGGGGATAATGTAACAACCACTACACTTTTTTGGGCCTACGACAACATTAAATCTGGACAACGCTTGTAAAGTGTTGCATAAAATATTTTTGAGAACACTTTTAAAGCATAGCCCAAATTTTTAACTTTTGGATACGATAATTTTGGCAATACTTCCAAAGTATACTTTTTATTGGTATAGGCCACACTTTATAAGGGTTATTAGTGTTTCATATAATTGACAACAACTATTCAGATAGATGCCCATACTTTTAAAGTGTCTTATTGTAGTAATTGTAAAAACAACACATTACAAATGTGAAAATATATTTTTCACTAAAATATTATATACCCTCCAAAATTTCTTCCTTCATTTTTATTGTGCAAAAAAAATTAATATATTAAATTTAAATCTTTATTTTTCCCCAAATTAAAAAAAAAATCACAATTTTCAGGTCACACAGAGTGAAGAACGACGCTGCTTCCCCAAATATGAAAATTGTCAAGAATGATTCATAGATCTAAGAATGACTGCATCTTCTCCATAGCTTATATTTCTCAAGACTGATCCTTTACAAATTGAAGAACGACACATTTTTCAGTTCATGGTTGTTCACCGATGACCTACGAAAATCCCTCATAGATTTGTCATTGTTCATCAAGGACAGAATATAAGCTTCACTTAAGTAGATGATGTCTCAAAGCTTCATCACATTGAAAGGATTTTGTTGGTATACGGTTTATAAGGTAAATATTTTTATGCTTAAAAGTCTTAGTCTATGGCATCAGTGTTTATTGCTTTAACACATTTAACTTTAGGGTTTTGATATTCTTGGGTTGTTGATACGATTTTTGTTGATTTTGTTTATACAAAAGGAAATAAGGCAACAGAAGTTTTTTTGGCTTTATTTTCTTTTAACTTGGTTTGAGTAATTTGGTTGTTATAGTTTCAGCATATCTTTGATGTGTGGTTTTCGTGTGAATAGATCATAGATAGTGTTAATCTTTACGAGGTTAATAGACTGAAGTTGTATATAGATTGGGGTTAGGCACCATTTCATGATTCGATGTTTAGCATGGACCTTCTTAAATTGTTTTGGCTTATGTTTAAGAGTGTTATTGGCTGGAATAGTGCACTCTGGGATTTGTTCAATAAATCTTACTAGGAAAAGAAGATATATTCGTTACCTTCATGTTAAATCTCTCTGCATTAGATTTTAAGTTGCATTATAATATTTCTGCTCAAGATATGCAGAATCCAATATTTTATGCTTTGTGTATGATGAATTATTATGGTTGGTGTCTAAGTAGCAGTTCTCTCTACTACTTTGTTGAAGCATATGCCTATAATAATTTTCTATTTGATTAAGGACTTTGCCTGTAGCTGCCTCTGTGTATCTTCCGGTTCCAGTCACAAATAATAGTTCCAAGGCGGGGAGATGAACTAGTTAGCTCATCAACAAACTTTGCAAATCAGGTCTCCAAATCTTTCAAAGAAGAAGTAGTGAACAGGTGCACTCAACTGTTGCCATTGTTATCTTTCTTTGTCTACATTTCGACTGTATCATCCTTAAAACTTTAAGGGGTTTATTTCTTGTACGAGTAGCTTGTTAATGATCTTTGATTGTAAGTTAAGTTCTTGTTGGTTTAGTTAATACTGTTCAGTGCAAATGCATTTCGTTTCAACTTGGTAATAATTTAACAGATAAGATAGCTATCACTTCTTCTAGGTGTCTCGGAGTTTCAATTGACTTCACAACATACTTTCACATGAAATTTTTTATTTTTTATATGTCGATATACATAGGCTTCAAATTATGAGAACTATAGTCCTTCTACCTCGTGCCTCACCTTGAAAAAGTCGTGCATCTTTTCCTTCTTCCTTGCAGTGGTGGCTGCAAACATGTTTTCTACTTTGGGTACTGGTCTTCATTTTGCATTATGTTCTTGAAAGGCTGGATGTAGAATTGGAGCTTTCACTAATATGTTTCCTAGTAACTTCATGTGTATATATTGCTTGTGTACCTAATTTCCCGTCACAAGAGAGCTCGCGATCTTTGGAATCACTGCGCCTTGAAAAATATGGAGAGGAGTACACTTTTGTGCACTGAATATTTATTACTTTGGTATCAACTTTCTCTTATAGTGGTTTAATGATTTCTTCTCAACTGATATATTTGATAAGTGTGAGAATATTCTTTGTCGACTATCAGAAAAGCATGGAACAATTTTTACATTATAATTGCTTCATCTTGGACTTTGGCTGGTGTATCATCTAGATTTGGTTTAGAATTATTGGAACAAGTAGCGTCAATATTGTGAGTATCTATCTTTCTACAAGATTGTTAGTACGTCTAATATTTTTCTTTATCTTGTGGTTGAGAACTTCAGAGATTCTAGTCTTTATTATATGTTATCTTCTTCTTGTTCTGTCAACTGGAAAGGAGCAATATTGACATATGATACTCGTACAAATCTGTCATTTTTTCGTTCATTTAGTGCAGCAGACTATGTTGCTGCCCAGCGGCTTAGGGGAGACATGTTTCTTAAGCTAGCTACACTAAAGCAATCTAACCTAGTCATGAATTACTTTCACTCCATAGTAGGCATGTGAATCCATTAAAATAACATAATAGGAAATGGAATCCATTAAAATAAATAACATTGATTGTTCTCCTCTGTTATAAGAGAGTTATATCTATTTGCAACAATTCAATTTTCTTTTTCCATGTTCTTAGTCTTCTTGAGTTCATAGTTGTTGTGCTCGCCTTAAGTTTGGTTTATTTATTTGTTAATCACCATGAGTTTGTTTTGTCTATATCTGTTGTAGTAGTTTTCTTGTTTTTGGTTATAGGTTTTGATCGTGTCAAAGAAATTAACTCCATTGTTCCTGTGCTTGTTTTCTTCGTTTAGATTGATCAGTTCTCACTCATATCAGTAGATGTAGATTTATTCAACATTGGTAGGGTCGTTTTGTGTTGTGAATGATCCCTTTTTTTTCTTTTCTCCAAGATTTCCTATTCATATTTACCGAGAGAGTCTTGGACTACATGTAGAACATGGATTTTATAGATTTTGTAACAACAGTTGATTCGAAAAATCGATTTTCTTGTAGTTATTTACTATGACATCTTATTAGCATATGAAATACATTTTTTGATAGAAACTAAGATTCATGTTTTTTATAACAATACCACTACATTGGGAAGTAGCTGGTAAATCAAAAATCAAGTGAAGATTTTAGTCCTAAAGTGTATACTATAACAATATTGTAACAACTTATCCCACAAGTGATATTTGTCCGTTTTAGGCCTAGGCCAACATGTCTATAAAATATGTCTTTAGGATGTATTTATTGATATACTCAGCATCTTTTTTAGTTTTCTATTATGTGGATTTGCCGAGAGTGTCACAAATATTTTATTCTAAAATGTTATTGCTCGTTGTTTTTTTCAATCAGGCGGACCTTACTGGAATGTTCCTATAGGAAGAAAAGACGGACGAATATTATAGCTAGTGAAACAACACTGCTTCCAATGCAGATATTCAACATTTCTCAACTAAAACAAAGCTTCCACCAAAGAGGTCTCGCACTAGACAACTTGGTTTCTCTCTTAGTTCAGCATAAAAAATTATCCAAAAAATTTCACTAGTTAATTTCATAAATGGTTACTCAACTTACTTCTGATACAACTATATGTTCTCTTTAACTCTCAGGTGCATATACTCTAGTATTTACCCATTGTTCATCATTTATAAACCACACATACAACTTCAACGCCACACGTGACATTGATCCTTTACTACGTCCATCGTTTGCAGCAAGCTTGAGTGGCATATTTTCACTCAAAAACAGGGCAAAAAAAAGCAAGAATCAACAATAATCCTGCAGCAACAACATTTGATAATACTCATTACTGTAATCCCTTGGGGAGCTGCTGGTATGAATCTTGTGTGGTAGTAATAATACCTTCTTAATGATGAATTATAATTTTTGAATAAGTGTGACCTTTTAAATTTTTTGAAGACATTTGGTTTTAATTTCTTCTTTTACATATTTTTTCTTTATGGTTTATTGAAATCATATCCTTTTAAGTAGCTAATCTTTTGTTGTATATCATAGTCTTTCTTCATGCAGATGGAATCCTCATGATGGAAATTTATAGAGTTCTTGGACCTGGTGGCTACTGGGTGCTTTCTGGCCCTCATATCAGTTGGAAGACTAATTATAAGGCCTGACAAAGCACTATGGAGGACCTTCAAGAAGAACAAAGGAAAATTGAAGAGATTGCAAAACTTCTTTGCTGGCATAAGAAATCTGAAAAGGGTGAGACTTCTATTTGGCAGAAAAGGATGGATGTCGACTCATTCCGTTCTACACAAGAAGATTCTGAAGCTACACTTCGTAAGTCCATAGATGCAGATGATGTCTGGTACGTTATAATTCTAAATAGTTCACTTTTATATGTTGGAAATTCTTTCCTACTTAAAGTAAACGCTAAAGAGAATATGCTTCTTTCCTACCATGGCAAATTTATGCTACTGTAAACCAGATTACTAAAACTATACAAGTACTTTTTGGAATGATGTGAACTTTTTTCCTAGGACGAACTGTGTTTCAAGAGGGTCTCAGTATGCGGAAAGATATCTGGAAGTCTCTATACTTACAGTTTTGTGATATCTGATATGGTGGATAATTACCATGTAAAATTACCATCCAAAGATGTTGGTGCAAGGTAATTAGATGCATAATACAACATTATTTCTAATAACCTAGCCGCTTCAATTGTAGCAAAGTAATATGATAAACTCTTTCATTTCACCTAATACTACGTATATTGCAGCACAAACTCAGTTTTGAAGATCAAGTTTCGTAAATTCCGTTATTTTGCTTCTATTGATCAGGTACAATAAAATGGAAGCATGCATAAAACCAAGCAAAGGCAATGGTGATGATGAAGATCTAAAACCATTCCTTGAGAGACTTTATGTTGTTCCTCCAACAATTTCTAATAGAATAGTTTCTGAAGTCTCCATCGAGGCAAATCTGGAAGACAACAAAAAATGGAAGAAGCATGTTAGTGCTTATAAGAAAATTAACATACTCATAGACACATGAAGGTACCGTAATATCATGAACATGAATTCTCCACTGGAGGTTTTGCTGCAGCTCTTCAATCTCCCAAGTTGTGGGTTATGAATGTTATGCCTACGATAGTCGAGAAAAATATCTTGGAAGTCATATATGAACGTGGTTCTATCGGAATTTATCATGACTGTTATGACTTTCTCTCTTCTATGCTCAATTATATACTTATGTGGTATAGTTGTGGCTTTGATAACTTATCAAGGATTTTTCCTTCATAGGAAGTTCAAGTACTATTGCCACTCGATTTTCTCTGTGTGATTATTAATCTTGTATTTTTAAGTCTTTGATTTTAAATGCAAAAAACCATCAAAGGAAACCTTTGTTCTTCATTAATGACTTCAGAAATGTCATATGAAAAGACACCTTGATCTAATATTACTTTCATTTCTATGTTAGTTTGCACTTATAATTCTTGTTTAGGTATAGTAATTAACATAAGCTTATAGGATACTATAATCTTGATCTTTTAGGTGAAGAGATAAATATAATAAGAGGTCATAAGTTTCCGAGGGTGTAGAGTTTAATTACACCTATGCACACAACTATATAAGTTTGTTATTTTCGGATCATTCGTAAAAAATTAAAAGTCAGGCGGACCTTACTGGAACTACCTAAAGTAAGAAAAGACGGACGAATATCAAGAGATGATAAGTGGTGTATTTTATTCAGACATGTACTTATTATATTGCAGAGAGTGTGACTCCACTGTCTTGTTTCAGGTATGTCTTCTCCTCTTCCTCCTTCATGTCTTCTTCTATTGCGAGTACGAGTTTAAGGAGATGTCTGTTTTTTTTCAATTATTGTTACAGTCACTCTAGAATGTTTTCTAAGAGGGGATGACATTTATTTTTCAGTTCTTGGTCGTCTTCATTGAATTCTTTTCATTTTTCCAAGTTCTTGGGTTGCAGTAGCAGGTCTATTTAGTGATTGGACTAATTATATTACTTTAGTTGAACTATTTTTGTGGTGTTGATTTTGTACATAGGTTGGGTCTCACAAGAGGGAACCGGTGTAATAAAAGTAAAAAAAATAATAGTTCTGGCCTTTATTTTGTCTATATATGAGTATAGGAGTTTATTGGTGTGGACTATATTGTAAAGTAGAAGAGGGAATGCTATGAAAGGGTCAGTTAGCTAGCCAAACACCAAAAAGGGAATAACCATGATAAGGGCCATATTAATGTAAGGGAGCTCACAAAAAATGGAAAAACGACTTTAGCAAGTGGTTTAGAGTTGACAATACATCAAAACATTTTGTTGTTTCAGCTTTCTAAAGGGTCCAACTCTCAAGAACATCCACTTGAAGAAAAGAGCTGGAAACATATGCCACATGTCTGCAGCTACCTGCTATAAGCTAAGTTGCACGAACTTGGGTGCGGGTATTCGAGACGGATGCGAATCTGAGAGTCGGATTCGGCGAAATCCAAATTTTAAGATTCGTGGGTGCGAATCCGAGTATGGATACGGGTGCGGGGATACGGCTAAAAATTTCAATATCATAAAAATATAGTTATGAAGATATTCTAAATTTGAGAGATATATTGTGATAAACATACATGTATTTTGTGGAATTCTATCTTTTGTTCTTCAAGATGAGAGTACTCTTCTATTCTTCCTACAAAGACACAACAAAATAGAAACTAAACATTAAAAGCATTTACAAATCACAACAGAATAAATATAACTAAAAGAATCAATAAAAATTGGAAAGAAGAACTAACCTTAGAACATGAATAGTAATAACTCTTGAAAGTTGAAACAAAGTGAAAAGTGAAGAAAACACTACAATTATTTAAATTCAAGAGATACACAAAGATATTTATCCACAATTTAGATATTCATAATTACTAATCAATATTCAATACACCAAGTAAAAGTGTAAAATATACTATTGAACAAAAAACAAGAGATTGTCTTAACTTAATTCATAACTTAAAATTAACATAACAACAAAATATTGTCAATTATCAAGTTATTTAATTAAGTTAGCTATCTCTTCCACATCTTCTTCAACTTCTTCCAAATCTTCAAACTCTTCCTCGAATATCACACCTTCAATTTGAGGGTCATCTATTGAAAGCTCGGTTAGATCATTAGTTGTCTCATCAATATCAAACCGATCTCCACCTAAAATAAATTTAAAAGAATAAATATATTAGAAGATCTTGTATAAAAAGAAAAGAACACCATTTAAACTAAATAATTGAAGAAAATATAGACATACCAACATCCTAATATTTGCTTGGCCCATTTATATATTTCTCTTTCTTGCGAGACAACAATCGGAGATTATAATGTACAAACACTAAATCTTCGGCTCTTGAAGTTGCTAACTTATTTCCTGATATTGTAAATCAAAGAATATGTACTCCAATTTCTTTCACAACAAGAGGAAGAAGCCGATTGAGTAAGCAACATGTAAGCTAATTGTTGCAAAAGTGGAGCCGAGACCCCATTATTTGCCCACCAAGAAAGAGAATCTTCATACATCATAGCGTCTATCACATGAGGCTCACTAAAATAACCATTTCCTCTAAAAAGGATCCATACTCCAATGAGGCTTCTCTCATTTCATTAGAATTTTTAAAGTACCTTTGAAAGCACTTGACTCTATTCACTGAAATTTCACTATCTTCATTGGGAGCTAGCTTTCGAATTCTCTCTCCTTCAAGCCATGTATCATGATAATATTTGGGAACCAAAGAATGTGCCATACAATTTAGAGGTGTGTTACTTTTGTTCCACCTAGCCACAAGAATATCATGAATAGTATCAAAAACATTTGATTGACCGAAAATGAGATCTTTTCCCTCATGCTCAAAGATGACTTTCTTGACTTTCTCAATCATTGAGTCCCACATATCATAAATGATGTAATATTGGACCATCAATATCGGCACTTATTAGCATATCAACAATTGGTTCCGTAAATTTCAAAAAATAGTCAAAACTATCCCATTTTTCATCATTCGTTATAAGCGATTTTATTTCACGTGTCTTGGCTTCAATTCTCTTATCCCCCTTATAATTCTTCCATTCATCATCCATGACCATTTTCTCCAAAGAAGATTTTACTTTGCGAATTCGGGTGGTCATAATGATGTATGAGGCAAATATTGTTTCACCAACCTTCAACAAACACAAATCCGAATGTTTTTGAAAAGTGCATGTTCCATGTCATGTTCACAACAAAATTCTTTAAATTGTTCACTTCACTAAGTAACTCTAAAATCCATTTACAATTAGTAAAGTGATGTGATTTTTCCGAAGGTTGGCACATACTTTTCAAAGCTAGATTCAAACAATGAACAACGCAAGGAATCCAAAATATATGAGGATATTTTTGCTCAAACTATAGTACCGGCAAGTTTCATATTACTTGCATTATCCGTAATAACTTGAACAACATTGTTTGAACCTACATTTTCTATTGCTTCAATAAATAAATTAGCAATATATTCACCATCTTTTACGATTCCACTAGAATTGATTGAATTCAAAAACAGTGGGCCTCCACTAGATGATGCCATTATATTGATCAAAGGTCGTATTTTAGTATCGGACCATCCATTCGAAGAAATCGACAATCCTTTCTTTTTCCATGTACCTTTTATTGGTTGAAACTTTCTATCAATATGTGTTTTTTCTTGAGCTAAAAGAGTTGATCTCAATCTATTATATGATGGGGGAATATAACCGGGAATGGAATTTTTGGCTAGAAACTTAGAATATTTTTTAAAATAAGGAGAGTTGGCAAAGTTGAATGATAAACTTGATGCGTAGAACATCCTAGCGGCTAATTTGTCGGCCATATTCCTCTCATAGATGCCGAATGATTTTCCGATAGCTCCATCACTCGAACACTTCCGATTTTTTTTGTTGAATTAGATCAGTCCCCTCCGGAAGTGATATATAATCATCTTTTTTCTTGCATCAACTTGAACATTGGTTCGTTTTCTTTCCGCTTGTTCATGCTCCATCTTCAAAATCACATATATATCACCACTATTTTCTTTACATATTTGAACACCATGACCCGATAATCTCAGAAGATGTGCTTTCACCCTATTATATGATCCCGTAACTATTTTATTACAATAGTTACAAGACCATGTCCTATTCTCACCCCCATTTGGAGCCATCGAAATAACTTTAACATGATTCCATAGAGGTTTATCATCAAAATCTATTCCTACACTTTTTGTAGGTCTCATAAAATCTTTTTTTTTGACTACTTGATGTCATCTTGCTAAAGAAAGGAAGATGATTTTTTTTTTGCTTACAATAAACTTGAATGAAAAACAAAGAAACAATGGTGTTTTTTGTTTTGGGAGGAAAAAGTAGGTGAGGATGTTTTTTTTTTGGCTAGATGATGATTGATGTGATATTTTTCTTTACTCCTACTCTACTTACTTGGAAGACTTTTGAGGTTTCTTTTTTCATCATTCAAGAGAAGTGTATGTATATTGTATACATATATTTTTACTATTAATATTTGAATTGTTTTTATAGTTCTAATAGAAAAATTTATGTTATCTAATTTTTATTTTTGTTGAGAACGTTTGGATATAATGCTTTTATCTAAGAATTAAGTAATTTTAATATTTCTTATACTAATATTTTTAGTATTTCGATAGTTCGAAGCTTGTCGTGATAGAAAGAATAAAAAGATCTAATAAGACGAGATCGTTTAAGTGCTTGTATTGATAGGAAGAATTCAGTGATCTAGCGAGACATGATCCTTGATCTCTCTCTCTCTCTCTCTCTATATATATATATATATATAGTATTTTAGTAGTTCAAAGATTATAATGATAGAAAGAATCAAAGAATCTAATAAGACGTTATCCTCAAAGCACGTTTATTAATAGAAAGAATTCAGTGATCTAGCGAGACATGATCCTTGATCTCTCTCTCTCTCTCTCTCTCTCTCTCTCTATATATATATATATATATATATATATATATATAATTTTAGTAGTTAGAAACTTGTAATGATACAAAGAATAGATCTAGTAAAACGGGATGCTCAAAGCACTAGTATTAATAGAAAGAATTCAGTGATCTAGCGAGACATGATCCTTGATCTCTCTCTCTCTCTCTCTCTCTATATATATATATATATATATATATATGTATATGTATATATATATATATATATATATATATATATATTTCGAAGCTTATGATGATAGAATCAAAAGATCTAGTAAGACGGGATCCTCAAAGCACTTCTATTGATTACGAAGAATTCAGTGATCTAGCGAGACATGATCCTTGATCTAGATATGATATTATGTGTGAAACTATATATATATATATAATATTTCTAGTATTTTGATAGTTCGAAGCTTGTACTGATAGAAAGAATCAAAAGATCTAGTAAGACGGGATCCTTGAAACGCTTGTATTGATAAGAAGAATTAAGTGATCTAGCGAGACATGATCCTTGAATTGGACATAGTATTGTGCGTGAAACTATATGTATTTATACATATTTCTAGTATTTCGATAATTCGAAACTTGTGATGATAGAAAGAATCAAAAGATCTAGTAAGACAGGATCCTTAAAACATTTATATTGATATGAAGAATTAAGTGATTTGTGAGTAGTGAGACATGATCTGGATAAATTATTATCATGTATTTAGGAATATTTACATAATAGTAGTAATATAAATCAGTAATTATTTCATGTAAGTAATTTTTTACACATAAAGCGGTTTTGAAATAAAAATGTCTATAATATTGTTAGATCCCATTTTTCAATCCAATTTGTCCTATTTATATGGACAAAATATTTATCTTTCGAAATATTGTTCCTTTCTCTCCTTTTCTAATATTTATATTTCTATTTTCTTTATACATGTAAATTGTAATATTTGTTCATTTTTCAAGATGACAAGTTTTATAAAAAATTTATTTAATTTTTTAATACTATAAATTATAATAATTTAAAATTTAAAGTTTTAAAAAATATATTAAAATTGAGCTGATTTGCTAAATTTGATTTATTATGTAAAACGACAAAGGATGCAATATATATATATATATATATATATATATATATATAATCCATTACTTATTATGTCTTGATAAATTCTAGTCAATCCAACTTTACGAGAGATTAAAAAATGTTTATGTATTTTGAATAATTAAACTATTTGATTAAGTTTTTTTTTTCAAAGAAAATAAATATTTATGACGAAATGATATAAATTATTTTTGAAAAGCTTAAAAGTTGGCTTTTTTCCTGAAAGTATTTTAAAAAAGTTTGTCAAAACACTTATAATTGTTGAAATAGTGTTTTTTATGTTGATTGGCAAAACGTAAATTATTCATCACCAAAATATTACTATATTATTATTTTTTCTATAAATATATATATATATATTTTATAATAATGTGAGCAAATAAATTTAGCGAAGTTGTACCTCACATTTTTTAACTCAAAATCAAACCAATTATAAAACACCACAAATGAGTAGCTAATTGGATGATTTATAGTGGTTGAGACTTGAGAGTACACTATTTTTATATGTGGCTCTTCCACACTCCAAATAATTACAAGTCAATATCAAAAAGAAAATTAATGTTTAAAAGTACTTTTTCCAACTTCCAAGAAAAAAAGTTGGTTCCCTAGAAAAAAGCTTTTGAAACTTTCAATAAAAATACTTCTTTCTTCTCAACTAATCTTCTTCTCTTTCAAACTGTTTCTTCTCAACTCTTCTTCTCTTTCGCCGGTGATGTTGCCGGCGACTTGCCGGCGTTGTCTCCATAAAAATAATTCTCTTCTCTCTTCTCTGTACTTTTTTTAAAGCTTTGTACTCTTTACGTCGTCTAAAATTGATTTTTCTTCCCCAATCTTTTCTCGGCTGCGGTCAAAGTGTCCGGATTAGATTGACCGAATCCGACACGCACCCCGCACCCGCACCCGCACCCGCACCCGCACTAGAGTCGTGTCGAGACGGGTTCACCTTAAAAAATGAAGAGTCCGCGATACTTAGGCTATAAGTAGTGTCTACTGTAGATTCCTATGTTAGACATGCACTTTTTAGAGCCAACCAGCTAAAGCATATCATTTTTGGGGGAGTTGTGTCCTCCAAATTAGTATCTATCTCTAGAAGTCTAATATTTTATTCTGAGCCTCCAGTAATTTTTGTCCTAGTTATACTGTGTATTCCTTTACATTAGGAACGTAACTTAATGCTTCAGCAGCCCGAGTCTTCATGTTGAAACATTCCACATTACACATCAAGTAAAAAAGGCTCTCACGTTCCCAGTCATTCATGTTTCTTCTAAAAGAGAGGACTCCACTTATTGTCTTCGCTATTCTATCCAACTGTAGAGTCACAATCTGGTTCTATCAGAAAGAGTGATGAATAGGTTTCTGTAAATTTGGAGTTCTATATATCCTTCCAGGATTTTACATTGAGGAAATTTACAGCATTGAATGAGACTTCTTTATGAAGTTCCTTCTATATCATACTTAAGTGTTTCCATGACCCCACTCCATATGGAGTTCTGCTTTATTAGTGGGTGACTCAACTTACCATATTTGGCTGCAACCACTTCCTTCCATAAGCTATTGTCCTCCATTCTATATCTCCAAAACAGTAGAGTTGTTTAAGCTGTTGATCTCACTTTAATTGTATTTTTGTACAGATCTGTATCTATTGATGTTACTTTGGGTGCTCAACTTTGAAGATTGGAATACTGGGCATGAATGACCTGTATGCATCTTATATTGTTATGTCTTGTATTTTCCTGCATTCCTAGTTCACTCTCATTATGAACCAATAGATAATGTAATACCATTTTTTGTGATCTCATCATAAATCATTTAACTTTACGTAGTAGGTTTTCAACCTTGCATTCCTCTTTCTTTATCAAGGCTATTTTGTGTTATTCTTAGTGTAAATGTTTTTTTTTCTCTATCAGGCCATTTTGTGTTATTCTTAGTGTAAATATTTTTTATATCAATCAAATATCCAGGCCATTTCTAGAAGACCAACCGGTGACATAAGGTATCTGATCCAAACATTCACGATTGCGTTTGAAATGGAGGGTTATTGGGAGAACAGTCATAGAGAAAACAAAAAGAAAACAAAGCGTACCGTCAACCGGTATGCCACCGCCAAGATACTGACATACGAAGATAGCTGCTTTCATTGGGTATGTTGATGATTCTTTCTATGATAGATGACTTGATTGTCTACTTTCTCTAGGTCTCTTGCAGTTTCAACTGATTTTACAATATACCTGCTATTGAAGATTTATCATTTTTATATGTCGATATATTCAGAGGCTTCAAATTATTGGAACTATAGTCCCACTTCATTAAATGTTAAGAGCCTTATTTCCCATTTCACTAACTTATAATTTTGTTCTGAATTTGCAGGAAAATACCGGTAATTGAATTTGAATTGTGGCCAAAAGTAAACTCGATCTATCGTAGTGAATTGATGATTAGTTTTTCTACTATTGTCATATACATTTGAATGCATTTGGTTTTTTGGATTTTATTGATATTAGAGATCTTTAAGCAATAAGTTTCTAAGTATTGGTTGTACAAGACATGTTTCTCGAAGTTTATTTGAAATATATAGCGTCGATTTATTTATTAGTTAATTTTGTGCTTAAGGTCACTTGTATGTTTTATTATGTGATTATATGTTGAATATATGCAATTAAAATATGTTGTTGTAGGACGTTCAATGTTAAAAGTTACGCTTTATAAGTGTTGTTCTAGATGAGATATAAAGTTACGCTTTATAACTGTTGCTCTAGATGAGATATAAAGTTACACTTAATAAGTGTTGCTTCAAATGATATATAAATTTACAATTTATAAATGTTGTTCTAGATGACATATAAAAGGCTACACTTTTGAAGTGTGACCAATAACACTAAAAGCAACGCTTTTAAGTGTAGTATAAAAAAAATAGGTGTCGGGAATGCATCACAAAAAGTGTGCCCTTATAACTCTTTCGCTACACTTAAGTGTAGCCAGAGATGGCAACATTTAAAAAGTGTTGCCTAATGTCAAATGTTACGCTTCTTTAGGCCACCCCCTAAAAAGTGTTGCCTAAAGTCCAAAAGTGTAGCCTTTTATTCAAGGCTACACTTTTGGCTAGTTTAGGCTATACTTTACTTGGGTTTTCTTACGCCTAAAATGGTGCAGTGAACACTAAAAAAATGGCTATTCTAAATAAAACTTAATGTGTCTAGAATGCCTACAATTAAATCGGGTTCACACAGATTGATGCGCGTAGAACAAGACCTCTGAACCCTTATGACAGTCAAACCAACTAACTTGGGGAGTTAGTTGAGCTAAGAAAGGTTGGGTCCAGCCATGTAGGGCTCTCAAATACAATGATTTACTTGAAGGAGTCTTTACCGGACTTAAAAGGGAAAATCTTAGGTTTGGAGGGTCTAGCGGTAAAATAGTCTTTTTCCAGGCTAAGGGTAGTATCATAATTACCCTAAATATATAATTAATTATTTAATTAATAAGATGGAGGGGTATTTTGGGGAGAGAGGGCCAAAAATTGTCTCTTGGAGTGAAGTCTTGCTCCACCCGGGTTCAAACCTAGGTGGAAGCAATGAACTAAATTATTTTTAATTTAAGTTGGTAAATTAATGTATTAATTCATATTTATTATTATTAGCTGATTTAAAAAAAAAGGGGAAATCAAATTTTTTATCATTTAATCAAACCTTATTTGACTAAGTCCTAAAGTAGACTCCTAAGCCTAATAAAACTCTCACTCTCTCACGTTTATCTCCACAAAATTAACGATCATTCTATCTTCTCTTTCATGTTCTCTCTACCAAAATAACTTCAAGAACATAAAGATAAACCATGTTCTTAACACTTGAAGAACTTACCACGAAAAATAAAAACAAACAACGAAATCAATCACGTAGGCAAAGAGAAGGCTGTCCGTCGAGTTGGTGTTGAACTTTCGGTGTTAGACGTGTGTTTGGAGGAGTTCTTTGGGCAGGAAGTCGAGGTTTGAATGTCAAAAAGGTATGGGTTCTCTTATCTCTTGGTCCCTTTCCTAAAAGATCCCTAAGGTTCAGATGAAGCTATTATGTAAACTAGGGTTGTTCCCCATTGCATGTCCTTGTTACTAGCTCCTATCGAATCATAGGTTGGGTATGTTTGCTTGTAGAAATTAGGGATGTAATGTGTTTTCGTGATGATTATGTTTATGTATGTATGTTTGGAGTTATGTGAGTATTGAACATGTTGTCCGAGATTAAGTGAAAAATGATGCGTGTGCAATGTGTATCCATGATATGCGCTCTTGGATTCAAGTTCGAAACATGACATGTTTATTGTTGTATTTCATGTACACAAACATTCTTAAATCGTAATGTTCATCAGGGATGTAAAAATGCTGATTTGAGTGCAAACTAATAGTCAAATGAATCCATGAAATTGCACCTAAAGAACTCACTAAAAACTACTTAAAACGTCTAAACATTTAATGCGAAAGAGGTGAGAAACTATGCTGTAAAAATTTCCAACATCTTGTTGATGAGTTTCGGCCAAGCTAAGGGGATTATCAGGTTATGTAAAAATTAATTAAAATATGTGAGGCCACTGAGATTCGAACCCATGACCTCACCATGTTAAAAGTCATTGAAATAATGTGAGAAAAAGAGAACGTGACATGTGGGATTCGAACCCATGTGTCTTGATCCGAAAATGAAATAAAAAATAAGAAATGAGAGGAGTGGGATTCGAACCCACCACCTCTCAATCAGATTTAAGGAGGAATAAAAATAAAAATAAAATGGTTGAGGCGTGTTGGAATCGAAGCCACGACCTTTAGGCAGAACCAAGGAAAACTTAAGGAGAAAACTTAAAGTGGGGCTGTGGGGGTTCGAAGCCACACCCTCTCAGCCAAAAAGGAGAGAAATTAAAGAAAATCAAATAAAAGGGAATGAGGTTGTGGGGGTTTGATCCCACATCCTCTCAGTCCCAATGAGCGAAAAATGAAGAGATAAATTAAGGAAAAATAAAATGAAGGCGTGGGGACTCGACCTTGGGTCCCCAAGACGTATGGATCAAAATAGAATAAACAAAAAAAATGTAAGTTTTAACCAGGGATACCATACCGGGTTCCCTTGCCCAAACTCCATATTGATACATACGTCACACGTGAATAAATATTCAAGGTAATTCTTCCTACATAGATTGAAATCGAGATCTTGGCATACATACAAGATGAATAAGTCTTGTACCACATAGTATAGAAAGATATAAATTACTTCAACGAACTATTAATGGATCCTCATGGCTTGTATGTATGGACCCATCAATCTAGCATACGCTTAGAATTAAGTGAACCTAGGATGAATGTAATGAAATGATGAAATGAACAATGAAATGATTAAACCTAGAAGGTTAAGTAAGAGTGTGAAACACACTAAATTGCCAAGTGCATTGGCATATAATGAAATGAGTAATGAAATTATGAAACCCTGGAAGGGTTAAGTAAGAATGTGAAACACACTAAATGGCCAAGTGCATTGGCATATGATGAAATGAACAATGAAATGATGAAACCCTAGAAGGGTTAAGTTAGAGTGTGAAACACACTAAATGGCCAAGTGCATTGACATATGATGAAATGAACAATTAAATGATGAAACCTTAGAAGGGTTAAGTAAGAATGTGAAACACAGTAAATGGCCAAGTGCATTGGCATATGATCAATTGAACATTCACGTAATGAGGGGTGGGTAACTATGAAGAGCAAATATGCTAAAAAAAATGAATGTGGTGACAATATGATAAGAGAATAATG